TGGGAAATCCAAAGATTTTCTACAAGATTATAAAAAAGCCTAAGATACTCTCAGATACATATTAGGTAAGTTAATATAAAACTAACTAAATATACAAAAAAACCTATATGAGGGAAACTATCAGACTTTTATAAATCCAAGAAGAGCTAAATAAATGGCATATATTTCATGTTCATGGACAGGAAGATTCAATATTGTCTGGACGTCAGTTCTTCCAAACTTGAACTACAGATCTCGTAAAATTCCAATCAAAATTCCAGCAACCTATTTTGGACATTGACAAATTGATTCTACAATATATAGAGAGTGGCAAAAGATCCAGAATAGCCAATGCAATATTGAAAATCAAGATCGATGTTGAAGGATTGACACTACCAAACTTCAAGACATATACTCTAAAGCTACAGTCATAAAGCCAGTGCGATGTTGGGAAAAAAAAGATAAATAGATCAATGGAAAAGAAGAGAAAGCCTAGAAACAGGCCCACAAATATAGTCTGCTAATCTTTGATCAAGGAGCAAAAAAATACAATGGAGTAAATATGGTCTTTTCAACAAATGGTACTGGGAAAACTGGACATCCAGATGAAAAACAAAAAACAGAAAGAAATTAGACAGAAATCTTACACCCTTAAAAAAAAATTCAAAATGGAACAGAGCCCCAATTGTAAAACACAATAATATAAAAACTCCTAGATGATAATGTAGTACAAGGTCTGATGACCTTTGCTCTGGCAATGACTTTTTAGATTCTATGCCAAAGGCATGATCCATGAAAGAAACAATTGATAGACTGGGCTTTGTTAAATTAAAATTTTCTGCTCTATGAAAGACATTCTCAAAAGTGTGAAAATTCAAACCACAAACTGGACAAAAATATTTGCAGACAGCATATCAGATAAAAGATGCTAATCAAAATATGTAAAGAACTGTTAAAACTCAATGATATCAAAACAAAAATTCCAATTAAACATGAGCCAGAAACCTTAACAGACACCCTACCAAAGAATACATACAGATGAAAATAAGCATATGAAAATATGCCCCAGGTTGTATATCATCAGGTAAATACAAACAACAATGAGATACTACTATGCACCTATTAGAATGGTCCACATCCAGAACATGGACAACAGTAGATACCGGTGACATTGTGGAGCAAAAGCAACTTTCATTCACTGGTGATGAAAACGGAAAGCTCCACGATTACTTTGGAAGATAGTTTGGCAGTTTTAAAAAATCTAAACACACTTTTACCATATGATGTAGCAATCACACACATGGTATTACCCAAAAAAGTTGAAAACTTATGTGTACTCAGAATCCTGAATATGGATGTTTGGAACAGTTCTGTTTATAACTTCTAAAACATGGAAGCAACTCTGATGTCTGTCTGTAGGTGAATGGATCAATAAACTTTTGTACCTTCAGAGAACTGAATATCATTCAGTACTAAAAAGAACTGAGTTATTGAGTCATGAAAAGATGGGGAGGCAACTTAAGGTCATATCACTAAGTAAAATAAGCCAATATGGAAAGGTTGACTACCGAGTGATCCAAGTATATGACATTTTGAAAACAGCAAAACTATGGAGACAAGTTTTAAAAATGTGTCGTTTCTTGGGGCGGGGAGAGTGGAGGTAAATAGAAAGAGCACAAAAGATGTCTAGGGTAGTGGAATGACTATGATCCTATAATGGCAGATACGTGCCCCTATACATATCAAAACCCATAGCATGTGCAACACCAAAGTGGACCCTAATGGAAAGGATGGACTCTGGGTGATAATGATGTATCACTGCTGTTCATCAGCTATAACCAACGTGCCACTCTGGTGGAGGATGTTGACTACAGAGGGTGCTGTGCTTGTGTAGGGACACGTGATATACAGGAAATATTTGTCCCTTCCACTCAACTTTGCTTTCAACTTAAAACTGCTCTGAAAATCTAAAGTCTGTTTTAAAAAAAGAAAGGAAAATATCCATTTGTCAAAGAGAAAGACATAAGGGAAATAAAAACATACTGAACTGATGAAAATAGAAACACAAGATGTCAGAATTTTGGGGATACATCAAATGCAGTGCTAAAAGGGAAATTATAAAACTAAATCCTGTACTAGAAAGGATATTTTAAATTACAACTCTAAATTATTATCTCAAAAAAAGTTAAAAATGAGAGCAATATAAAAGCCAAAGCTACTAAAAAATGGGCAAATATTAAAAGACCAGAATTCATTGAAAGGATTACAGAACCCAATATAGAAATTAATAAGAAATTAATGTGCTTCTTTGAAAAGCCTCTAGCATAGTTAACAGAAAAAACAGAGAGAAGGCACCAACAAAATAATAATCTAACAATATTATCAGAACATGGGCAAGAAACAGGAAGAGAAATCTCCTCCCCCAAGAGGATATAACATACATGGCTAGATAATAGGCATGTAAAATGTTGTTCAGCATTATCAGACCTGAGGGAAATGTAAATTAAGACTATGATAAACGGAACCAAAATTTTAAGGGACAATACCCCAAACTGGTAGGGATGTAAAGAAACTGGATCTCTTACACATTACTGGTAGGATGTAAAATGTTACCTATATTCTGTAGCCAATGTAGAATATAATTTGACATCTTATTTACAACTAAACAAGCATTTTCTATTCTATAGTACAATTTGCTTTTCCAGGCATTTATTCCTGAGAAATGAAAAGTTATGGCCACGCAAGGACATCCACACTACTATTGCTTTGCTCCTGTGATGTTAGCTTACGGCTCACACGTTGTAGCTATAGAGGTTACACTAGTCAGTAAATTGCTGTTTCCGGTTCTTACACAGTTTCTATGCCTGCAGAGGTCATGTTCAGGTGATACAGGTATGGCTGGGCAATTCTCTAGGACTGGCCATCACTCTGATCGTCTGGCATTATCTGCTGCTTAAATAGTCCTCATATTTTATTGTGTATTTTCAGTATTGCTCAAGGAGATATTATTTTCTTGTATTTTATAAAGAAAAATCCTGACTTTAAAGAATTTCAACAACCCACCAGGTGTCATAGTCTCATTAGTTTTAAGACTACTTTTTTCATTACTCCATAGTTACTTCCTATACATTTGAGAATTGCACTCAATTAAGTATCTTTTCTTATGTTAGCTCTTAATGAATTACATTATGAGATAAAACTTTAAAACACAAAAAGTACAAGAATGGGTAATATATAGTAGCTGCTAGGAAATTTCTAGTATAGTTGTCAGTATAATTAATCGCATGCATAATACATGCTACACTAAATTAACATTTAAAAACTATAGTTGGTAGCCATTAGATTGCATTTATCAGTCTTATTCCCATGCGAAGGGTTTGTTAGCTTATTAAAAAGTGTTGAAGTAACCAGCTGAATACTACGCTGCTGTGAGCAACTGGTGGTTGAGGTTTCCCATCAGATTAATGCCAGAATAATACAGAACTGACAATATTAGCATCTTTCACCAGTATTAAAATTTATTCTGTGCTTTTAAAGATTACAAAATAGCTAAAGGTAAATAATTTTGTTTTTTTGAGACAGAGTCTCGCTCTGTTGCCAGGTGCTAGGCTGCAGTGCCATGGTGCGATCTTGGCTCACCGCAACCTCTGCCTCCTGGGTTCAAGCAATTCTCCTGCCTTCAGCCTCCCAAGTAGCTGGAACTACAGGTGCACACCACCAGGCCAAGCTAATTTTTGTATTTTTTAATAGAGATGGGATTTCACCATGTTGGCCAGGATGGTCTTGATCTCCTGATCTGATAATCCACCCCCCTTGGCCTCCAAAAGAAAGGTAAATAATTTTTGAAAAGAGTAATGCATTCTTTGATATTGTTAGAATAAGTGGTTGGCACAAAGTAAATGATTGATCAGTGGTACCTGGGGAGAGACAGTAGGAACAGTAGCAAGAGGCAGAGAAAGGACAGGTGCAGAGATGGGTCTGTATTTAGGGAAGAGGGTGTGTTGAAAAAACTTATGAGGCAGGTAAAATAAAGGGAGTAGAAGACATTGTCAAGGCATTTATCTAAACTGATGGGAGACAAATGTGAGGCCAGCCCCTGGGAACATCAGTGCTGCAGGCTGTAGGAAAGATGACAGTTCCCACCTTACACAACCTATGCACTAGGAAGAGCAGAAAAGATGAATCCAAAGACAAGTAAGAGACAGTGGGATATCTCCAGAGATACTCAGACAAAAAGCTAAGGAAAAAAGTTAAGAGAAAAGCAGGAGATATATAAATCTAGAAGGAATCACCTTGTTAAAAGAAGGAGAATTCTAATCTGAACATAGAGCAGTCTTACAGGAGACTTTGCCTAGAATATCATGCAGGAACATTCCTTGGAAGGTTCTAAATGTCAGGCTAAGGCTCCTTATCCCTGAATTTAATGAGGAAAGGGGTATAACAGAAATGTGGTAGATTTAATCCATAGTTGAAAAATCATATTGAGTTTTCATGTTCATAGATATAATTTTTTCACTTTGTTATTTATCGTTTCCTCCATACTGAGATAAGGCATTTATAATTTATTCAAATGCAAACATTGTTATTGTCAATTTTATATTATGGTAGTAAAAATAATGCAGATTTAGATTATGTGAAAAATATATAAATAAAACATAACTATATAAATTTATGAATATAACATCAGAGTTTTACAAAGTATTTTTAATTATGACTTAGGAAGAAACCACCAAAGGACTGCGTTAGTTCCCAGGATGCTATTTTAGTGTGACCCAGATGCAGTTTATAAGGAATTAAAATTAGGAAATCCAATTTGTTTTGTGTAATTTATTTTAAATGACTTTAAGTGAAAATTTGCCAATAAAATCTTATAGCAAATTTATTCTTCTGGCCATGAGGGATACTTCAAGATAAGCAGAGTATGTGTGTTTTTGCTCTTGTGAGTCCCTGAAAGTTTCTCCCCTTTCCTTAATGGCATTAATGTGGTTACAGGTCTTATGTGATGAATTTCTTGGGATTACCTTTGCTTCAATCTGTTTAGTATCTGGATTCTGAAACAAAAATTTGATTTTGCTCTTGCCGTCATCTGAAGAACCTTTAAGCTGAGAAAATTTATACCTCCAAAGGACAGCCTAAAGGGAAAGAAAGAAACAATGTAAGTCAATGGAATTAATATCTGTGTTCAAATAAAGAAATAGTGCTTTTTTAAATGGTAAAAGTCAAACATACAAAGTTAGTACTATGTCCCAATATTTTAAAAGTAAATTAAGAATATTTATCAAATGTTAATATTTGTGATTCAATATTATTATTCAATTTTTGGAAATATTTTATCCATGAAATAATTATTACAACATACATAAAATACATTGCTTTTATTATCTTGTCTTATGTGTACAGTCAATAAGAACTATATGCTTCATTGAATTGTTTTCAATAGAATTGATAAGGCAATTTTGAGTTGATCATGCTGAAGTTTTATCCTGAAGTCCAACTAATAGCCTGTCACATTAGTAAATGACATAGTAGCTGGAATTAACACTTATGACAAATACTGATGTGTTGCTTTCATGAGATGTAGAATGAGCATTTTGTGGAGCCATTCCCATCAGTCTTGGAAAGTAATATCTTGGAAAGTAAAGCCTCTTTCAGAAATGTATTCTACAGATGTAATTCTCTGAAGCAGGAAGTAACAGAAATCTGTTGCCTTTCCAAATAACAAAAATTGAGATATAAAAGGTTAAATTGGCAAGAAGTGGGAATTGTCTATAACAATTTTTTGTCTCTCCTATATCATAAATCATATTTCCTGAAATTAGACTCAGCATTTTGCTTTTTGATATGTCCTGAAACTAAAAACATACATGTTCAAAGTAAAATACCAAAGATATAAATCATTAAAGAGGAAAATTGTGTATGTGTGTTTAAACAGGGTCACACACCATGTAGTTTGTTTTACCTTATCTGGCATACCTTTATCTCATTTAATATGTGATAAACCTTTATCTCATTTAATATGTGAGAAAATATACTTTTCACAAATTATTGTTTCAATTTATTTTCAAATAATTTCTTGTGGTTTCTAAATAGATCAACAAAAACATAGCTGATATAGTCAAATGTTTTGAGTGTAGTCCTATTTTATTCAACATAGTACTGGAAGTTCTGGTCATGGCAATCAGGCAAAACAAAGAAATAAAGAGTATTCAAAGAGAAAGAGAGGAAGTCAAATTGTCTCTGTTTGCCGATGACATGATAGTATAGTTAGAAAATCCCATTGTCTCAGCCCAAAATCTACTTAAGCTGGTAAGTAACTTCAGCAACATCTCAGGATACAAAATCAATGTGCAGAAATCACAAGCATTCCTATACACCAATAGCAGACAAACCGAGAGCCAAATCTTGAGTGAACATGCATTCACAATTCCTACAAAGAGAATAAAATACCTAGGAATACAACTTATGAGGGATGTGAAGGATCTCTTCAAGGAGAACTGCGAACCACTGCTCAAGGAAATAGGAGAGAACACAAACAAATGGAAAAACATTTCCATGCTCATGGATAGAAAGAATCAATATTGTGAAAATGGCCATACCGCACAAAGTAATTTGTGGATGCAGTGCTATTCCCATCAAACTATCATTGACTTCCTCCACACAATTGGAAAAAAACTACTTTATATTTCATATGGAACTAAAAAAGAGCTCATATAGCCAAGACTATCCAAAGCAAAATGAACAAAGCTGGAAGAATCAAACTATGTTACAAGGCTACAGTAACCAAAACAGCATGGTACTGGTACCAAAACAGATATACAGACCAATGGAACAGAACACAAGCCTCAGAAATAATGTCACACATCTACAACTGTTGATCTTTGACAAACCTGACAAAAACAAGCAATGGGAAAGGATTCCCTATTTGATAAATGATGTTGGGAAAACTGGCTAGCCATATGCAGAAAACTGAAACTGGACCTCTTCCTTACACCTAATATAAAAATTAACTGAAGATGAATGAAAGACTTAAACATAAGACCTAAAATTAGAAACACCCTAGATGAAAACCAAGGCAATATCATTCAGGACATGGCATGGGCAAGGACTTCTTGACTAAAACACCAAAAGCAATGACAACAAAAGCAAAAGATTAACAAGAGAGATCTAATTAAACTAAAGAGCTTCTGCACAGCAAAGAAAACTATCATCAGAGTGAACAGGCAACCTACAGTATGGGAGAAAATTTTTGCAATCTATCCATCTGGCTGAGGACTAATATCCAGAATCTACAAAGAACTTAAATAAATTTACAAGAAAAAAATATATCAAAAAGTGGGCAAAGTATATGAACTGACACTTTTCAAAAGAAAACATTTATGTGGCCAACAAACATATGAAAAAATATCATAATAACTGGTCATTAGAGAAATGCAAATCAAAATCACAATGAGATACTATCTCACACCAGTTAGAATGGTGATTATTAAAATGTCAGGAAACAACAGATGCTGGAGAGGATGTGGAGAAATAGGATGGCTTTTATTTTGTTGGCGCCAGACACATTAGTTCAACCATTGTGGAAGACAGTGTGGTGATTTCTCAAGGATCTACAACCAGAAATGCCATTTGACCCAGCAATTCCATTACTGGGTATATACTCAAAGGATTATAAATCATTCTACTATAAAGACACATGCACATGTGTGCTTATTGTAGTCCTATTCACAATAGAAATGACCTGGAACCAACCCAATGACCATCAATGACAGACTGGATAGAGAAAATGTGGCACATATACACCATGGAATAGTATGCAGCCATAATAAAAGGATGAGTTCATGTCCTTTGCAGGGACATGGATGAAGCTGCAAACCATTTTTCTCAGCAAATTAACAAAGGAACTGAACTCCTCATTCATAAGTAGGAGTTGATCAGTGAGAACACAAGAACACAAGGAAGGTAACATCACACACCGGGGCCTGTTGGGGAGTGAGGGGCTGGGGAGGGATAGAATTAGGAGAAACGCATAGTGTAGATGATGGGTTGATGGATGCAGCAAACCACCATGACATGTGTATACCTATGTAAGAAAACTGCACATTCTGCATATGTATCCCAGAACTTCAGCATAATAATAATAAAAAAATGAAGTTGTAGATGGCGTCTTATTCAAGTATAAGGCCGTTTCATAGACACTAAAAATCCATTGTTCGGCGTAGCCGCCTTCATCAATGATCTTAGCGATCTTCTGGCTAACTTACTGTAGCTTCTCCATCAGCACTTGCTGTTTCGCTTTGTACTTTTATGGTATAAACATGGCTTTTCTCCTTAAACTTCATGAACCGACCTCTGCTGGCTTCAACCGTTTCTTCTTCAGATTCTTCATCTTTATCAGTTTTTACAGTTCTGAAAAGAGTCAGAACCTTCCCCTGGATTAGGCTTTGGCTTAAGGGAATGTTGAGGCTGCTTTGATGTATCTTACCGTGAACACTTTCTCTATATCCGCAAGTAGCCTGTGTCACTTTCTTGTCATGTATGTGTTCTCTAGAATCACACTATTAATTTTCTTCAAGAACTTTTCCTTTGGATTCACGACTTGTTTGACTATTTAGCACAGAAGGCCCAGCTTTTGGGCTATCTCTGATTTCAACGTGCCTTTCTCACTAAGCATAATCATTTCTAGATTTTGATTTAAAGTGTGAGACATGTGAGTTTTTCACTTGAATGCTTAGAGGTCATTGGAGAATTATCAACAGGCTTAATTTAAAAATTATTGTGGCTCTGGGAATAGGGAGGCCCAAGGTGAGGGAGAGAGGTAGGGAATAGTTGGTCAGTGGAGCAGTCAAAACACACAATTTTTTTTTTTTGGATAAAATTTTTGAGCATCTTAAATGAGCACAATTCATGGTGCTGCAAAATAATTACAATAATAACATGAAATATGACTAATTACAAGTCACCATAACAAGTATAATAATAAAGAGTTTGAAATAATGTAAGAATCACCAAAATGTGACACAGAGATATAAAGTGACCACATGCTGTTGGAAAAACAGCTAATAAGATAGAGTGGCTCAACGCAGGGTTGCCACAAATGTGCAGTTTGTAAAAGACACAGTATATGTAAAGGACAATCAAGAGAAGCGTGATTAAATGAGGTACGCCTGTAAATGAGCACTTCCGTCAATCCATTCACACTCTCACAGGAAGAGCAAGTCATAGGTAAACATATTTGAATATGAATTTTAACATTTCACTAGTGATCCTTAAAACCCAGATTTCTGAAGTCCTAGCTTCTTTAGGTAGAGTTTCTAATGGGAAAATACTACCCCCTCACTCAGCAAAATACAAAAATAATTCCTGCTAAAATGCCTGTTCTCCAAGATTATCTCACACTGGCACTGAGAAAATGAGATTGGTAAAGGTTCCAAGAAATACATTTAAGGGTGAATGAAAAGGAGTGAATATATGTTTATCTCCAACCAACCATTCCGCAGTAAATATTCACATGCATAACTTTTCCTAGTGGTAATATTTTCAGTGTAGATATTACAGATTTATAATTAGGAGACTTTATCCATGGCCTCCATTTGGACATATGTATTTTAATGGTGGGAGGTAACAATGACAGACATAAACATCACAACTTTCACCTTCAACTCAATAAAGTGTGTTTTTCCGTCTTGTTACATGGAAAAAAATATACCTTACAGTTAAAAAATTGTCTAACACAGCATGGGCAACATGCAAAACTGGTTTTTCTCTCTTCACATAGATCTATGTGAAGGAAAATGTGACTTTTAAAGTACTAAAACTCCATACCTTGATTACATTATTACTAAAACATTTGTACAACAAGAGCCAAAAATAAGCAAAATATACTGATGCATTTTTACATTGTAGACAATTCTTTCTTGTCTAATTTAAATTATTGTTTAACAATAATTATAGAATAAAAAGAACATTTACATTTTCTTTTGGGTGTTAAAATACACATAATATAAAATGTAAAATGTAGCATTAAAATGATTTTTACATGTATAATTCAGGGATGTTAAATACATTCACCGTGTTGTTCAATCATTACTGCTAGCCCGTTTCCGGAATATTCTTAACATCCTAAACAGAAACT